ATACTTGGAACTACTAGTACATGTACTTACTGTGGAACTAAGGGACAAGTCTTGGAGACGGCTCCATACTTGGAACTACTAGTACATGTACTTACTGTGGAACTTAGGGACAAGTCTTGGAGATGGCTCCATACATGGAACTACTAGTACATGTACTTACTGTTGGACTAAGGGACGAGTCCTGGAGACGGCTCCATACATGAGAATAATAGTACACATACTTACTGAGGAACTAAGGGATGAGTCTTGGAGACGGCTCCATACTTGGGACCATCTGGTTGAGTGAAATGATAACTTGCACCACATATGACATTATTGATAGCATGTTTAATATCTTCAAGAATACCATAATCAGCGACACCATTCAACTCATACAGTTTGTTTCTGAAATCAGAGCAGCAAAGGTCGAGGCGTTCTTCCTCAGTTTCTGCTTCCTTTCTGCAGTAAACAAAAACAGGACATCAATCGTAAGAGCCTTTTAGATTTATACTGTTGGTGATATGTCATGTCTAGTCACTGATCATGAAATTCTATGATTATGGACATTGTCAAGGAATGCCACATACATGACTAATTATTATGATCATACATAATTCAACAAACCCTTTATATACGGATAGTTCCTGTAATGCCTCATTTGCATATAATTAACATATTCACACTTTGAACTATAGGTCAGTTGTAAGTCAGCCATTAAGTTTCATTTTTTTTTTAAACTCAAATCCTAATTTGTTGGGTTAAGCACAAAATCAAACACAATTTTACATTCATTTATATATCAATGTTTTGTTTCATACAATATATTTGGTGATATGTTTGTCACTTGCTGGGCCCCATTGATACATTCCTCTCAGTAACATTACGTAACTAGTATCAATCATGAGAGGAAAATTGTAAATTACACAACTTGCTAAGTTGTGTCAATGTTAAAATTCTTGTGTTTTGATAAAAAAAAATCCATGTAGTGAAAATTAATTTGTGTATGTGAGAATGGATGGATCCAACACTGAAACTCCCCCAAGGTCCAATAAAAAAAGGTGATCACTATTGCCAATCACACATAGTGGCAACTTTTGTAGGGCTGTTACACAAGTTCACATGAGGAAGGAATATTTGATTTTATCTAGCCATGATTCAATACTATATTTTATTACATGAACCCAATGTAATGAGCATTTAGTTCTGTTTCAGAAGCACCTGTCTGAGCAAGTCTGTCTTTCTGCAGAAGATTATTAGATTAGAGAAAAGATTTTATATATTTTTTTTTTATTATTACATTGGAGCAGGGAGCTCTCATTACATCTCCCTGATTGCAGTTGCTCCTCAAAATAACGTTAATCATAATGGTTATCTTGGATTCATAAAAAACTTATTGGGCAAGGTGTTGAAGATCACTTTTGTAGAAAACAAATTTCAAATCTTGGTTTGGCTGTCATAATGGCATATATAATACATTTGTCATGACATGTATATTACAGTACATGTATAAGTGTTTTATATTATGAGGGTGCATGCTGACTGTTACTCAATCCTGCATCTTATCTCATCTCACCTTTGGGAGACGTCAGCTGAAGGGACTGATGATTTGATTAGAAAAGGCACCCTTTTATTTGAGAAATGAATGTTGTTGTTTGAGAAAAGCTGCCAGTTGTAGTCGAAAAGATTTACTTCAATTTGATTGAATCACAAAAGTACCCACAAGTGTAGTACTTGTATGCATAAGAATCAGGCAATATATTAGTGGGGAATTGTGTTGGACAAGAATAAAAACAAAATGGCCACCAGTTGGCTATTTTTGGAAAAATCTCAAAAAAAATATGGCATGCACCTGTAACCCAATAATGCATGATCATGATACAAATTTTTGTAGATGTTCAGTCTGCGCCTTTCACTAAAATATCTTGCGGTGAACTGACCTATAATATTCAAGCTGATGAAAAATGCTTAAATTTACCACAGTCCCTTTATGATAGAGGGACTGTGAATTTACTGAATGTTCCCTCTCTGGGGCATAGTTAAATATTTCATTCCTGTGAATTCAACAGAAAATCCAATTTCTACAAATAATTTATTGAGAAAAACTGAGAAAACCATTTTTTCTCATTTGGTTGAGATGAGAAATATTTGAAAATATATAGTGCAAGGAGATACGGTACCTAATACTGCATATTGTAAATTAATTTGTATTCAGAACCTTTGTTTGTAATACACATAGTTGGTTGACCCTGTGACCTCAATAAATTACTTCCGGAAATTTAAAACACACTTATTATGGCAACTACTGGTATATGTATATATTTTTATCACAAGTTTTTCCCATCAAAGATCACCACAATTAATGGTAAGAAGATTTTCCATATATACTTGTAGGATTTCCAGATTGAAAGAAGCTTTTTCATTGTGCAAGATGCTTTCAAAAAGAAATCAGAACTTCATGCATGCTTTCCCAATTTACAGAGATTAATGTTCGTTTAGTACACTTATGTAAATACATTAAACATTTGTTTATTTACAAAACAAAACAAAATAAAACATTGGCAACTGTTGCAGCATCCAAACTGTAAAGGACACAAAAAAAGTATGTTAACATGCAAATGAGGCATTGGCTAATTACCTGATAAATAGATTGTTAGATTGAAGATTTGAAAATAGAAAGCCATTTAGATATAAATGTAGATATAATGTAATTGCTTTTTAAGATCCATTGAGGCACACAAACTCTTCCAGTGCTTTACAAATACATGTACCAACATTGTCAGTGATGCCTTCAATATATAAAAGATTAAGAAGTTACCTTTTCTGGTTAAAAACTTTAAGTGCTTTATCAAAGTCTACAGTTGAGCAAAGTCTCCGATATTTACAGTCCTGTATAATTTCAACTTTTACATCACTTGGCTCATCTGTAGGTGCATTTGCTGTCCAAGTAAACAGTTGATAATTAGCATACAACTTACCGGTATAACATGAAATGCAAAAATGTTCTATGACATGCTACTCAAATCTGTAGTAAGAATAAGTTACATGTATTAGCCTTGCAAATTCATTTAACCCTTTCAACATCAACTTTGTTTTTTTCATTTAAATTTGTGATTTTTGGTGAATTCAATCTTATAGTCAAAATGTGACATTGCTTCTAGTTTTTGATAAAAAAAATTGTAACATTTCATGTTGAAAAGAACAGACTATAAACCAAGCTATTTTGAGAATGTTGTCTGAAGTTAAACATTAACTAATGGGTTAAACATTATTGAAATAAGATGGTAAAGTAAAACCATTGTAGTTTAAATTTTGATAGAAACATTTAATTAAATCTTATTGGTCGATGAAGCATAAAATTCTCCATACTGTATTTGCTTTAATGGCCTATGGTCATAATACAGTAACCCTCGCTAAGTCATGCCTAAGTAAATCATGATTTCAGCTATGTTGTGGGTAGTTGGATGGCTCCCAAAAATTATATTGTGTTTTGTGGACATTTTTGAAGTAAAAGAATTAATGTTTCGTTGCATTGTGTATTTAATTGGTTGTTAAAGGACTGGAGGGCAAGTGAAGACTTTACGTACTTCCCCCCCCCCCCAATATACATATAGCTCTATATAACTCGCTACAGTGAGTTGAATCCATCAGCCTGATTTCTAGTTTTCAACTGAACAGCATGTTTAAGAGAAAGCTTTTGAGTCTGTCCGTACGTAAAAAAATTTGCAACAATCAGTGAGTCCACTATTCAGTGAGTCCACTATTCGTAAGTGGGTAAAGAATGAAGAAAAGCTGGGAAAATTTGTTTTCAAAGTTGACCAAAAGGCAGACTGAACAGAACATGTGTGAAATTATCTAACAAGGATGACATCGGTAAAGCTGAGACGCTGTGATGTTTTTCAATAGAGAAAATGTACTACAATTAATCCCATATGTGTATATGTGCTTTTCTCCATTTTCAATGCATGAACTCCTCTTTTTACATGGCCCCTCGGTAAGCCACAACCCCCAATAAGTCACAGTTTTTGCTTGGATTCTAACACTAGCGACTTAGCTAGGGGTCACTGTAAGTCATATTTCAATGATTTTGTATAAATAAAAGCTTTTAATACATACAGTATACATAATGACCAATCGACAGGCAGCAAATTTGCAGGTTTTACGTTATAGCAGGCCATGAGTATGATGGTGAAATGATAAGCTGTTATTCTGTGTCAGGGTACATCTTGGAAATAAGCCAAAAGATGGTATTTTATCGTTGAGTACACAATATGCCTACTACAATAATAAGCCTTGCAATCTTACCTGCTGCTAACTGTCTAAACTGTTTCACAGACTCATCAACATTAACTTGTACAAATTCAGATAACTTGTATTGTGGTAGTACATCACATAGAAGTACAGACCTTATAGCCTGTAAGATAACAAAATATACAAGGTATAACATACATTGTATAACCATCTTATCACATGCACAAGTTGCATATCACCACAGTGTGACGTAACACAGGGCATCATCAAAAACTTGTATCACAGCAGTGTTATTGTGGCTCAAATTGATGTCAATCTAAGAGAACATATAGTTGGATTATTTATAACTATTCAGTCAGCTACATGTATTAGAGTATAAATGCATGTGTCAAGCATTTGGGTGAAGTTAGATGGGTAGTTTTCATGGAGGTGAGAATCACCTTACAAACACCTACATCCAGGATTTTGCGTGATGTTGATTCCCTGATTGTTATAAACAAATGTTCAGAAACGGGCTATTCAACATTTGCAAGCATTGTACATAGTTACAGTGAGGCACATTAAAATGAATATCCAGGATCTGGGACTTTTGTTACATGTACATGTGTGAATTAAATATAGTATTGCGTCAATGTGTGGAGTGTGGTGGGCAGAAAAAATGCTAATTCTAATTCTGTCTGGTAAAACGTAACATTGTCACGATTGCAGCCTCTATTAGTTGAGCCCTGAAAGATTACACATTTACATATATAAGTATACATCTGTAAAGGGCTTGCTCGTGATCAGTAATAATTAAATTTTACTTGAAAAGAAAACTAATTTGTCATGATGTGCCTGGCTGCTGTGAAAGTGCAAGTAGACATTGTTTTTAAACAGAGGTCAGACTGTTGATTTGTCAAATACATGTTGTTACAACATCAGTGATTCGCTGAAGTCAGCTCATTGGATTATTATTATTTTTTGGCAATAAACTGTAACATTTGGATTTTCAATCATTAATTGTGACTGTGTTCACCTCCCATCGATTTCAGTTTTTTATGTCTTGGTTAATCTTGAAACCACTATATAGCTGGAATGTCGACTAACCTTGTGAAACTACAAAACACAGGGGCCATCGCTCAACTTGAAGCCAAGTTGTAGTTAGTAGCATGAAAATTTAACGTGATAACTACACATACACTGCCATAACTCACACAAATAAGGTTGTAATGTTAGATTTATTTTAGATTATAATTTTTTTTTAATTATTGCTTCATTTCACTTGGTCCATGTTGTCTGCTAAAGTGTATACCTTACAATTTATGTATACATCAACAGTACAGAAAGTAAACCCAGACATGTTGATTTACTTTACAAATACAATGTACTAGCATTTGTCCCAATGTTGTGTATAGTGTACAAGTTAAGGAGAAGTGGTTTATCAGAATGACTAGTGTCGTTATTTGCATATCCGAATGGGGCATTCTCATTGGTTGATCGGTACGACATGCTGACGAGTTACAGATGGTGAAATGAATGAATGTGCATAAGTATCACAAGAAGTTTGAATGTGATCTGTTCAGACATGTCTGAGATACAAATGAATTTACACACACAGACAATCTATAAAATCCCTGTTTTCATGTCCCAGTGGGGGCTAATAAAAGAACAGCCCATTAGTATGTGTTATAAATCACCACTATCAGAATTACAGGTCTTTATGACGTCATAGCTTACATCATCACACACAATAAAGTAAATTCATTCCAACAAACAGGTAGTGATTCATAACAACAATAATGAACAATACAGCATCAGATTTGATTCAAGGAAAGTTGTGGACGCAATAAAATACACATTAGCTTGTCACAGACCATTCTCCTCATCCAATACGGTGCTGCAATGAATTCATTATTTTTTAAATAACAAACATGAATCTGGTTAATAAAATAATGTGTGACAGTGTTTCCTAAATGGAATGTGAAAAATAACAGACTTACTTGTAAATGGTTATCATGATTGATGACTTTTGGTACACCTTTGTGTTCCCACTTTCCAGCAATAACATCTAGTGTAAAATGCCACAGAATACGATCCAGTAAGTAAGCAGGTTTGAGATGTGGAGAGTTTACCATATTATATGAACATTCTGGATGTTTATGAATCCAAGGACTATCAAAAGATGAATGATTCCACACCACGTCTGTAATACTCAGCATATGCCATTCCATGTTCAGCTTTGTAACAAAGTCACCCACATCTTGGTATGTGATTTTCTTGCCATCATTGTTGAACACTGGATTTAGTTGATCCTGGTTTCGCAATGAGTAAGAGGATTCAGAGGCTCCCAGTTCCTGCAACGGGGTGAAGTGAAGTACATTGTAGTACGTCTCTCTGCCGACTTGTAGTCTTTGCTCCCATTGTGGAAAAGGTCCCAGGCTTTTTGCCAGCACTGTTTGCAAGCAGATACAGTCAAGTGGAAGGATTTCATTCTCAGGCCCAATTTTCAGTGTTGGATCAACCACAAAGAAACCAGATCCCTGTTTCATTAAACTAGAAAATAAATAAAACAAAACATGAATGTCATAGTCCTTGTATTCAAACAAAATGTATTCAAAAAATAAAATACTTTAAATATCTAAATACTAACTATGTAGGTTGATGGCAGAAAAATGTGCAAAATATTTTGTTCCTTCACTGTTCCTTTGCTGTAA